CTAACCGTTGCATCGTAGCGCAAAACATTTGCGAGGGAACGCATGTCATTAACTTTTTTTTTTTTAACCACGGCCCCTTAAGGGCTCTGTTTAAAGGCAGCTACTCATACAGTTAATGACACAAAATCAAGTCTAATATATCGGCTGATTTCTTAATAATGTTAGCTACAAGATACTATACCATCAATAAGCTGGTTAACAGTGAACTTTCTCATGCCAGTTGTGGTTTGTTATGTGAAGGTAACAAAATACAGCTTTAATTTCTCTTTTTCTAATCGCTAATATAGCCAACTTTGGAGCCTGCAGCCTAAACTGAGCAGCTACTGGAACTAGAGTAAAGCATGCTGATTTAGCCAGCAACGTTATGAGTGCTCCAAATACAAAAATAAATAATGGAGCTGGCATTTTACATTAATATGGAAAATGTACATAAATATGTAAATCATGCTCATAAATATGTAAATTATGCTCATAAACATCTCAAGAAGTCAGTCACTCTGGTACTCAGCTGTGTAGATTCTCGTACAGAGATAAACAGAACGGGCAGCCCAGTCTATGGCCGAATCACAGAACCTGTCACTGCTCACTGTGTAGTTTCATTGCTTTTTCCACACTGAATCTCATAAAACCCTTCAGAAACTTCAGAATACCTCAGTGTCCTAACGGTAGTCACATTAGCTAACTTACTGAAGAAATTGCGGAGAGTAATGGTTGCTAAGCAGTTATTGGAGGGTTTAGAAAATAACGGTATTTTTGATACAGTGACAGCGCTCATAGACAAACAAATCAAATTTCATGACCTCAGAAATGCAGCATAATAAATATTCCGTCCCTGTTTGATCTAGTGGCCTGGATACTGTGGCTGCAGCCCTGAGTAGACCGTATTATCATAATAGTTTCTATGTTTAATCTCATGATTGGAGGAAAATGAAAAAGCCCTTCTAAACTACCGAGGTCCGGACCTCTGTGTCCTCATAGCTAGTTACGGGCATGGACAGCAGTGGTATATATGATTCATCCAATAACACTGTGAATACCGTGACCGGAAACCAGGGGAAATAAGATCAGGACGGGATGTGAGACTGGGCACCACACTGGCTAACCCATCGAGCTAACCAGTTTCTGAGATGCGGGGGGCTGTTGGCTTGGTGGCCAGCAGACTATTGGCCTCACACACCACAGAGCAGGTTCGATGCTTCTCTCACATGAGTTTAGAGGATAAAAACAGAAATCTGAGGGAGAGACTGGTGCAGTTAAAACAGTAGGTTAATAAGTTGAACTGAGCTGTGATTTGGTAACTAGCTGCTGAGTAATTATGCTTAAACATCCAATATCAGACTAAAGTTTGTGAAATGTCAGTCAAATGCTTATTATAAAACTGCAGTTCATCAACATAAATGTGCCTGTATCCGTTTCAGTCATTTAGTCTTTTAACCATTTACCAATTGTTTTACCTTCTTACAGCCATCCATCTGCTACATCTGCTTCTCGACTGATCAGGCTTTTTAGTATCGTTATGGTATTTCTCTTTGGAATATTAGTACATATTATGTTAAATATTACATGTTTTAGTGCAAGACATTGCCAATACTCTGTATTTTAACATGTATTTGAAACAGTGGAAAACCTGCTTTATATTTTTCTTTACTCTGCAAAACTGTTGTATAAAAGCAGTAGGACTTTGAAGTTTGCGCGATATTGTGAAGACATAGTACTTTGTTATTCACAATAACATGCTCTTTCTTGTATGTTAATGCACAAACCTTTGCTTTTTTCTTGTCATTGCTTTGTAGATGTACTTTTGATACTGTACTATTCTTTCAGGATTCTTTTCATCCTTATGTTTTGCATGGTGACTGTTTATTACACATTTTTCTTACTTTTTTCTTGATTTTAGATGCAGTCATGAGGAATCCATCTTAACAAACTGTAAGTGATGAAATACTTGACCAGAGACCTCCACACCCGTTAGACCTGAGCATATTAAGCATTATTGGGTAGTATTCAGACTTTCATTCGCTTGCTGTCTCTCCCTCTCTCAGACATTCTCTACATATACTCTTACTAGCCACTTTTACGGTACTCCTAAGTTACAGAGTGTAGTCCATCTGTTTTGCTGTATACATTGTTACCCCCCTTTTTTACCATTTTTACCACAGGATCACCATAGAGGAAGTATTATTCGGGTGGTGTGTCATTCTCAGCACTGCAGTGAAGTTTTTAAACACTGTGTCCACTCACTGTCCACTCTATTAGACATTCCTACCTTGTTGGTCCACCTTGTAGATGTAACATCAGAGACAATAGCTCATCTGCTGCTGCACAGTTTGTGTTGCCCATCCTCTGGTTCATCAGTGGTCACAGGACACTGTGGGCTGGATATTTTTGGTTGGTGAGCTATTCTCAGTCCAGCAGTGATATGTTATTTAAAACATTGTTGTATCTGATACACTACCACCAGTACCACACACATTATGTCAGTGTCACAGCAGTGCTGAGAAATAACTCATAATACCTGCTTTGGGGTGGTCTGGTGGGAGGGTCCTGATCATTGATGAATAAGGTGAAAGGGGGCTAACAAAGTGTGCAGAGAAACAGACCAACTACAGTTTGCAATTGCAGAACTACACAGTGCACCTATGTGTTAAATTAACCTGATTCAACAGAAAAAGGAAGTAAATACAAGGCAGCTTTACGTTTAAGTGGCCAGTGAGTGTTTACATAAAACCAAGCCCAATGGTGTACTGCATTTTTTTGTAAACACCACTGTAACTGTTTAGTTACCTAGGTACCTACTACTCCACTCATGTTGTCTGAATGGTGTGCAAGTTCTGTATATTTTGTTTAGACAGTTAATGCAATTGTTTCTAAAGGATGTCTGGTGTAATTAGTTCATGTATGCATACCTGTGAACAAAGGTGAGCTTCAGGAATTGTTAACTTTACAAGACATGATACAGCAAATGATAATGCATATCGCTGTTGTCGGAAGAAAAACTCTCCAAAATGATAACTTTACAGGAGAAGGAAAAACCTACTTTACTTTTAATGTGAGTCAATGGTAATTAACTGTAAACAAAGAGTTCTTATCAATGAAATTTACGTTTGCCAAAAAAGCATATCGTAATGTCTTATACATTGTCACTGTATTTTTTACGGTGAAATTCTGGCAATCACAGCTGTCAGTATTTTACCGTAAATTAGTGTAGTGAAAACAGACCAGCTGTTGGTCCACACCAGCACTAATAGTTGTACGTGTGTTTTTATTAATGCATTAATAATCATCAATAGTCATTTGTAACATAACCACAAAGATTGGTAAAACTGCAGACAATGTCCAGATTTAAGTGAGTTCTTCTTCTCGTTATTATTATTATTATTGCATAAATTGTATTTATATACTTAGATGTTTTGATAAAACTTAATAGTACAAGGTAATGAAAAAACTTCACGGCTTAATAATTAAAGTTATTTTTATAGGATGTTTCCATGGCCGAGCAGCTGCATGCAAGCCTTACCAAGTCACCAAGCACAATGTCAAGCAATGGTTGGAGCGGTGAAAGCACGCTGCCACTGGACTCCTGAAGCAGTTGAAAGGTCTTCTGTGGAGTGATGAATCACGCTTCTCTATCTGTCAGTCTGATGGATGAGTCTGGGTTTGGTGAATACCAGAATAACACTACCTGCCTGACTGCATTCTGCAGACTGTAAAGTTTGGTGGAGGAGGAATAATGCCATGGGGTTGTTTTTCAGGGGTGGGCCTAGACCCCTTAGTTCCAGTGAAGGGAAATCTTAATGTTTTAGCATAACAAGACATTTTGGACAATTGTATGCTTCTAACTTTGTGACAACAGTTTGAGGAACAACCTTTTCTGTTCCAGCATGACTGAACCCCAGTGTACAAAGCAAGGTCCGTAAAGGCATGGCTGGGTGAGTCTGGCGTTGAAGAATGCTGATCTCAACCCCTTTGAACAGAACTAGAACAGAGATTGCGAGTTAGACCCTCTCATCCAACATCAGTGTCTGGCCTCACAAATGCTCTTCTGGATAAATGGGCAAAAATTCCCACAGACACTCTTCAATATCTTGTAGAAAGCTTCCCAGAAGAATGGAAGCTGTTATAGGTGCAAAGGGGGACCAACTCCAAATGAATGCCTATGGATTTAGAATGGGATGTCATAAAAGCTCCTGTGGGTGTAACTTGTAGGTTTCCCAATACTTTTGTCCATATAGTATATTTTTTCATTACCTGTATATATTCTTTTTTTCCTTATTGTTGTGACTTTTTAGCTTGATAGGTACAGGTTTATACATTGTCATGCCAATTTATTAGACTTCTTTTATCCTATTTTTGGAGATTTCATATATTTAATGGTATATGTTGAATGCTGCGTTGATTTTGCGCTGCTTCTGAGAGTTCAGTTTTTAGCATGTGCTCCATTAGTCATCCCTGTTAGCAAACTATACAAACCATTTTTTGTGGAGCAAACAGTTTTTTTTTGTTATACTCATGTTGGTCTTTTGGCTGACACAGCTAAAGGATCATGTCACTCCCTTGAGTTATTCCACATATCTTAAACCAAGCACTGCTAAGTTTATTTTGAGGCTGAAAAACTAAAAATTCATACCACACAAACATGTGACACATGGACCTACAATAACACCATACTCAACTGCGTAATAAAGCAGTCTGTCTTTGGTTTTTAAGTCAGTTTTTGGAGATGAGCCCCTTAATGAAGCGAATGATAAAATATCTTCCTCTTTTAACTCTCAAGAGACTGTCAACCGCCTTCCATCCGGCATTCTAGATTCGTCGCCTGTGAGGGCAGGGCAGCTTTTGGGACCCCGCTTGTCATTTCACTGATAAAGGGGTTCTTGTATGTGTCGTCAGTCTCCTCGGAGAATATAAAACCTGCGGCCCACCGCAGCTGCCAGTGGGCATCTTGCACTTGTATGCAGCAGGTGTTCAGAGTTTAACAGCTGTGGAAGATACAACTCTTACAGCAATGGCTGCATCTCTCTTCAGACTGAGACTCTTCACCCTCTTCTTTCTGTATTCAGGACTAGCAGGTGAGAATGACTGCTTTCTAGACGTATAATAGACTATATATAAACACATATGCTATATGTCCATACATAGCAGAAAACTTATGAAGTACAAATATTATTGTAATTTTTATTATATAATTATAATTAATTATGATTAAGATATTATCAGATTATCATCTCATTTAATTTGCTTGTATTGTATTTGATTTTACATGCGGCTCACTGTAGATATCTCTAACCAAGAGGAAGTCTAAACTACTATACAGGAGGAAACAGTGCATTGTAAAGGAAGTCCACTACTGCCAGTGGTCATTCATTCTTTTCCTGGTTGCCTGTCTTTAATCTACTTTTAGTCTCTTGGAGCTATTTCTGGTCTTGCTTTGTCTCTCACTAAACAATGGAGGGCTTATGAATGCTTAAGCGTAATAATAACTGTTAAAGACATGCTGTCTCTCTCAGTGTGTGTTCTCTCTCTGCGTTTCTTTCTGTCCTCTCAGTCTCATTGTTCCTACTGAGGAGCTAATAATAAAATGCTCTTTTCTTTTTCCAGATGCTAGAGTAGAGATCATCACCAGTGAGACGGACATCAAGGTCGGAACTGAACAGTTATTACTGTGCAAAAGTTAGTTTGCTTTTCTCTTTTTCTCTGAGTTTTATGTAATATATACACTCCTGGGCAAAAATAAATGGGCCAAGCCCAAATGTTTTACTGGTGTTTGTGTATATAAATATACATACATATATATATATGTGTGTGTGTGTGTGTGTGTGATTAAACATAACAAACACAAACATAACATAAACTAGCTTGGCAAACAATGTTTTTAACAGTTTGAAACCATCAATGCTGAGTGAAACAGTAATTTACCCACAAGACTTCATCATTTAAAGAAATCAAAGGGAACAGTTCTCCCATATGAACATACTGTATCTGTTTGTTTAATTCTGGCTAATTTACTGAGCAATAATTTGTTGTTAAGAACATTAAAAGCCATTTTGGGCTTGGCTTCTTTTTGTTTTTTGCTTTTTTGTTTGCATGGGAGTGTACACTTGAAAATGAAGAGTGCTTTGGAGTGATGCCATGGAGGGACCATGTTTGTTTCCCTAAAGAACCTTTCAGTGGTTCTTCAAAAGGGAATTCCAATGATTTTTCAAAACGTCTGCATAATTTAATTGTTGAGATGTAAACAAAGTAATTTGGGGAGGTTTGATGAAATAGTGCATTGTGGAGAAACTTTCTAATGATAGAACCTAGGGCTTGTGATGTCTACAACGCAAATATAATCATTTTATCTGCTACCCAAAACAATCAGGGTCTTCTGAGTTTTATATGTAATGTTGATTATGATAATATATAATCTAAAAAAATAAGTTTTCCCTGGGGACTATTTTGCCTTGCAGTGCCCTGCATTTGCATTTGCATAAAAAGAGTTTCAGCCCAAAAGCTTATCTCAATGTCCCAGGCATCAGGCAGCATATTCATAACCATTTTATGCAAAAAATGTGTGTGATGGAGCCTTAAGAGGCCTTAATCTCCTCAGACGTCTGGTTCCGATCACCACCACTGTGAACGATGCTGACTCAGCAAGTTTCTCTAGAAGGAAGCATTTCAGTCCACTATGAATTGCTTTATGTTATAAAAAATCTGTACATTTTCTCTTAAAACTTTCAACTTTGTTCACTATTTTTTAGAATTAAATGTAAATGTAATTCTAATGTAATTCATAATGTAAATATTAGATGCCAGTTAACTTTCTAACAGTCTTTCCCAGTCCAAGCCAAGTATGTCAAAACTTCCAAAGCAAACCTGCAGCATCACCTAGTAAGAAATTCATAGAACATTTGAAAGGCATTTACAAGAATTACAGTATTCTGTATGAAACCCAAGACAATACCACAAATTCATTTTTGTTTCATGTGGTATTTATCCTTATAACTTCTAGCTTTTAAAGAGGCAGATATTACTTGGCAGAAGGATGGGGAGGATGTTGACGAAGATCGTCATGTAGTGGAGAAAGTGGACGAAACTTCGAGTAAACTGATTTTGAAGAGGGTTGACCTAACAGACAGTGGAACGTACACATGCAGTTGTGACTATGAAATTCACACTGACAAGGCAACCATCAAAATCTTTGTCTACGGTAAGACACCTTGTGTTTCGTATATCTAATATTGATACTTTGTGACAAAGTGTTGTCAACATTTAAAGATGTGTTAATAGTATTATTGTGTCATGTCAAATAGAACCATTTTCAACACATTTAATTCAATTAATTTGTTTTCCTGCTCAACACTGTTCTTGCTTCTATGAAGGTCCAAGACCCCAGGTAGTGGAGAAAAATCTTCTCAAGATTTTTATCTCATACCTATTATCTAAAAGAAAGACTTATTTTCTCAAAATGTTGACTTAGTATTTTGAAAAAAATATTTCTTTTCTGCTGAAAGCATCATTCTGACCTAGTAAGTCAAAAATTGAAACTCATTGTTTTGAGATGTTAAATCTATAGCTGAAAAATCTTTTTCAGGCCTGTTCTTATTCTGGTCCGTTAAGTGAACGTTAAGAAACAATGTCTTTATTTCGAGATAACAAGACAATGTTTTGACATACTTCTACCAGAAACAGAGAATTAGGAAAAAAACATAATGGGAATGAGTTTCTTTATGTTCCTAACAGTGCAATGCAAATCAACAACCAGAACTGTTTAGTACTGTTTATCCAGGGAGCAAGTATATTTTTGATTGTATAGCATCTGAATAAATACACTTTACATTAATGCAGTATATAAGTAAAAGAAAAAAAAATGTTTTAAATAAAGTTATTGGTACCTTGTGATCTGATTAGAAGAACCACCATTTAATTTTTCGTAAAGAAGTATTGATTAGCCCAGCCAGGTATTGGATGGTAACAACAAATACTGGATTTGCCAGGAGCCCACTCTGGCAAATATATAATCACAATTTATTTATATTATGATATCATCATATATTATTACATATTTATTATTATATTTATGCTTATTATATTGCCACTGTCTATAAAAAAAACGTTTTTTCATGAAAATTTCATGACCAACAGAAATGCTTCAAAATTGCTTGAAATGAAATCCCTTTACATTAACTTACAGTGAAAGTAAGTAACATTTTGCCTTTTCCTGCAAAATTGCCATTTTGGAGATTTTTTTTTTCTTTTGACAGCGATGATACTCATGGTTGGTGTTTTTCTGTGAAATAAACCTGCTCACCACCAAGATAAATAGCTCTAGATGACACTTTCTTAGATGACTTTTGCCCATTTCCATGCATCTACAGCTTTGTAAGTGATTCCATGAAGCCGTTGATTCACATTTGCTTTTCATTGCTCTTTCATTGTCAGAGGACCCAAACTTTGGCAAGACAAAGACATACCATGAGTTTTTGGTGAACCAGACAGTGCATGTCCCATGTGTGGTCACTGGGAAGCCTGATGTGGAGATCAACTGGTATCGGGATGGTCACCTTGTGAGCAATGACGGTAGGACCCTCGGTACAGGCTATCCATGTGAGAGAAGACTAACTAGAAAAATTTGACCCAGTTTCTCATCTGTCTAACAATGAGAGTGAGGAAATACTAATTCCGAAAAAGCTGCACTGCCCCATTTCACGAAATGCCACCATTGACGAGTTAAGTAGTGCATGTGCTTTATGAGCCATCACTTCATTGTAATGAAAAAAAAGAAGGTAGTGGTCAACAGTGATGACTCCCTCACTCCTTCTTTTCCACAGGCAGTGGTCGTCTCACAGTTCTGCCGAATAGGAATCTGCAAATTACGAACATTCGTAAGAGTGATCATGGAACCTACATCTGTGTGGCGAACATAAAAGATCGACCGACCATAAAGAAGGTGCTGGACATCTCTGTTGTTGTAAACGGTAAGGTGTGAGGGTCTTTACAGGGTACAGAGACATTGTTTAATAAGAAGCTAAACCAAGAGCGACAGGCTGCTCTAGAACTCATTGATCATCTCAGGATCTGGTGAAAGATAAATGTTGCAAAGAGTTATTCTCCTAACTGTTTCCTCAACTTTCTTGGCTCCTCTAGTTCCACCGACCGTGATGATTCGCAGTGAGCGGACAAATGTTCATGCGGGACCAGACACAAATGTGACAATAATCTGCCTGGTTTCAGGATATCCGCAACCAACCATTATCTGGACAGTGTAAGTACTTTCATATAGTAGCACACCGATTACTGTGCAAAACTCACAGACCACCCTTCATTTCCTTTAGTTACAGTCAAAACAACCATTATGCACATTGTTTACCATTATTTACCAACATGAAAAACAGAAAATGACTAAAACAACTAAATAGAATATCCAGTATTTTTTAGGATTGAGTGTGTCCACATGGCCTTCATGACAGCTTCCATTCTCCAAAGACCATCGCCTTTTAGTTTTTCAAAGAAATCTGCAGGGATATTTTTCCACACCTCCAAAGTTCAGTCTTAGAAGTTGGTTGCACTTCACTGGTTGTGATTCTCACAATCCAAATAATCCCAAACTGATGCAGTGAAGTTGAAGTCTGGACCAGGGATGGGGGAGTAGCTAAGTAGCGCGCTACTTTTTGTAGTTAACTACATTTTTTTGCAGCTAATAGCTGTAGCTGCTACAGTTTTATGAAATGTAGCTAATAGCTGTAGCGCCTACACATTTTTGTATAGCTATAGCGAAAACTTCTGCTACAATTTCACTACAGGATTCAGGCAATCCGCACAAAATCTGAACCATAGAATGCGGTCATTAACTGGGCAGGTCGTTAACTGGACAGTTCGAGCGAACGGTCACACTGATCACCCCCTACTAGTAGGCTTAGCTTAGGGGTCGCAACTGAAACGTTAAGAAGAGCCATTTTGTCCTTTCAACAAAAATGAAACCACCTTGGGAGCCACATTTTATGTCTGTTTTACTATCTTGGCTGTAAGTATGTCTCAGTATGTGCTGATGTGCTAGTACAGGCTAAAAATTAAATAAACGAAAACTCAGACTTACTTTGATCTGCTTTGACCTTTAGCTCAGCTATAGCCACTTTTCTCACATCTCAGGAAACGTTCAGTAGCTATCCCAAGCCTGGTCTGGACTCTGGGGTGGACAGTCCATTGTTCTGAAAACACCAGCAGCTTCTTTGTTTAACAACTCTATAAGGTGTCTATACTTGTCTATATTCTATAAGTTGACAGGAACACCTGTGGATTTTTTCAGACCTGAAGCAAGAGTGGAGCTTGATTTCTCTCTCTCAAAACAAAGAAGCTTTAATTATTGTTTATCTGAAGATTAGAGTTTTGGTGGTCTACCAGCTCTTGTATAGTTGTGAGGAGTCCCATTTTCTCTTTATCTTTAATTTATCTTTGGAACTTCAGTTTTGAAAACTCAAAATAAACTTATTAAACTTAAACATTTGTTTATTTGTTTTATTAACTCCATTTATTTGCCTTTGACTTTCTTCTTTCTTAGGCAAGTGGATTATCTTTTATTTAACCTTCTCAGAAATATGTCCATAAAAATGAATAACATGTACTTCATTGCCATTTTAAAAGGAAATTAAATAAACGAAAGGTGGCCTCTGACTTTTGCACAGTTTTGTATCTCTTTTTTGTAAGTAGACACCAGTAAGCATGATTCATTTACCAGCATTACTCAGTTAGCATTTTCACATTGTGCAGTTATGGGTTTGATTAAACTTGCATCTATCTTCCCTCTCAGGCCTTCTACCTCAGATTCCTCTCGCTACATATACAACTCAGACAAGAGTGAGCTCATCATCCCAGCTGTGGCCAGAAGTGACTTTGGAGAATACGCCTGCACGGCTTCCAATAAGCTTGGAGATGACAGTGCAGCGTTCATACTGGATGTCTCAGGTATGAAATCGTTTGCATCATCAAATACTGTTTTAAAGTATTGGTCAAATCTGAATATCTGTCCGATGCCAGTCTTTTCTTTAAAGCAAATATCTGCCATTATCAATACAATTCCGATATCACTGCACATCCTTTCAGCCCCACTAGCTTACATTTTTCTGGCTTTTACTGGCCTACATAACCACATTTAGGAATTTTGGGTTAAGTATTGCCTTAACAAACATACATGTACTTAACTCTTTTGCAGTTGAGAAGGAGCCCAGCTTCACTAAAGGCGCTATGGCTGGAATTGTCATAGTCATCGTCCTGGTGCTATTGGTGGTGGTTTGCTGTTCCAGAGACATCCGGGCCAGGTGCCTGAGCATCTGTAGGAAGGGGTGATCAACAATGTTGCTGTGTAAACTATCTTTTCCTTTCATTCTTTTCAAATTCAGCTTGTCATGAAGACTACATACATCATTTTTGTACTAATAAAAGGATAACGTTTGTTTTTGCTTTCTTAGTTAAATGATTACTCACTCCTAATGACTACCTCATTGTTCATTCTGTTTAACTGTTGATGTGAAATTATTGCTAAAAGTACTGAATTGCTCTCTTCATGTGCTTCATTGAAGGCCTATTGGTTTATGAGGAAAATAATACAGACTACAGAAAGTGTTTATGAACAAGGGGACTGTTATGATATAAAAGTGCCCTTCACTGTGAGCTGGCCTACCTTGGCTGAGTCTCTGTGTCTGTGTATGCTTTGATCCAGAGACATGAATGGGCTAGAGAAACTGAGGGGTAGCATCCCAAAACTACAGGAACAAAAGGGGCAGATGAATGGGGTACATTCGGAGGTCATGCGCGACAAAGCTCCAGCAAAACTTCTTTTCGGAGGGGTGGATGTAGACAAGAACTGCCATCCACAAAAAATGGCTCTCAGGAACTCAGGATGTGACAGCCTGAACCCCATTAGGGTCTCAGCAGCTCTGTCAGGCATTTTTGATCCCCATCTTGCTGCAATCATTGTAGTTCAAAATTGTGGTTTTGATTGTGATCAGAACCTGAAACATATCACAAACATGTCGCTGCTGTCATGTCAAAACCTCAGAAGGGTATAGCTGCCCTTTACGCTGTGAACATTTCATGATGAATGGACCAATAGAAATGGTCCAAACTTACAAAATACAAATGATGATCTGTTAATGTTCATAAAAGTTAAAAACGGTTTACCATTTTGGATAATCAAGGTATATTTATGACAGGAAAAATATGTTGGTGTATATAGTCAGAACAAGATATATAAGCATTTTAGCCTGAATAATCAAGATATATTCTCTCCTTTCAGGAAACCACCAGCCAATGGTGACTCTACTGAAGTATAACTGCAAAGTCTTTCCTTCATTGTATTTCTGAAGAAACTCAAATCAAAGAGCAATAATGGCTTAAGGAGCATAGATGCTAAAATATAGCTCAAGAAAGTAGGATATATTTGTAGTTGTTTATGGTATCTAACTGGATGTCAAGGTTGAAATGACTTCAATACAATATCAGACCGAAACAAACATTCAAAACAGTATATCAGATGGACATGCTGCTCCAAATATTTAATTAAAAACTGTCACAGCAGCAAACAAAAAAAAACAGCACAGACCAGTATAAGTTTCCAGAAGAAGAAAAATCCTGCTTAACTTGTTTTGGAGATAAATGTAGCAAGTTATTTTCCAAGTAATTTTGGATGAACAGGTATTACTAAACTGGGGTCACAAGTTAATATATTGAGGCCATGAATTACTGAAATGGGTGGATTAGGATTCATGCAGGTATAAGATGATTTTTCAGTAGGGTTGAGAATCTAAAGGTCTTTGCTTAATCAAACTTTTTTCTCCACTAAAAATGCTGATTAACATGTTGCTTACTGTATTAATGTTGCGGTAACTTTATGAAGAGCTGTCAACCAATCACCATTGGTGGTGAGTTGGATCAGATGGCAGGGAAGCCTGGCGTTCGGACCAGGTGTGCTGGGAACAACTGGCAGAGTCCCCTGTTTGGAATGATTTAATTCCCACCTCCAGGAAAACTTTTCTCACGTGCCAGAGGAAGTAGGGGACATGGAGTGTGAATAGACCCTGTTCAAAACTTCCATTGTAGAAGCCACTGGGTGTAGCTGTGGCCAAAAGCTTGTTGGTTCTTGTCAGGGCAGCAACCCAAGGACCCTCTGGTGGACAATCAGTGGTGAGGGAGGCTGTCAAGCTGAAAAAAAGGCCTTTAGGGACTGGTTGGCCTGGAGGACCCCTGACTTAGCAGATATGTACTGAAAAAAGGCAGTAGTGGTAGCAAAGGCAAAATCCAGAACATGGGAGGAGTTTGGACAGGCCATGGAAAAAGACCTTCAGTTGGCTTAAGGAGTTTCTGTACAACTGTACTTTGTCTCAGAAGCGGTCGGAATGGCTTTGCTCAAGCTGTAGTCTGTAGGGGTGGAGAAACTCTGACTTTGAATGAGAATATTGTTGGTCAATGGAAGGAACATTTTAAGGAACCCACAAGACATGCCTCCCTCATGGGAGTCAGGGCCAGACTCCGGGGAGTTAGACTCCATTTTTCTGGTGGAGGTCACGTAGTAGTTGGCAAGCTCCTTGGTGGCAAGGCAAAGGGGGTGGATCAGATTCAAATGCCTAAGGCTCTGGTTGTTGTGGGGCTGTCATGGCTGACATGCCTCTGCAATGTTGCATGGACCTCAGGAACAGTACCCTTGGACTGGCAGACCAGGGTGGTGGTCCCTATTTTTAAGAAAGGGGACCAGAAGTGTGTGCCAGTTATCAGGGTATCACACTTTTCAGCCTCCCTGGGAAAGTTTGTGCCAAGGTGCTGGTAAGGAGACTCTGACCAAAAGTCAAACCTTGGCTTGAGGAGGAATGATGCAGATTCTGTTCCATATGGAGGCCTTTTGGCTCCATTGTATGGATGCTTCCAGCATGCACTGGAGCGGTTTGCAGCTGAGTTTGAAATAATTGTTATGCAGATCAGCACCTCCAACTCCAGAGTCCATGGTCCTCGCCTGGAAAACGTGGGAAAATCACCATTGTGCTGGCCCTCCATGAATGATATCCCAAAATTATACACTTGTCCTGTAAAAGAATGTCAGTATTAACCCTCTAGGCCAGAATGTTGCCTCAGGGCAACAGACCAGTTTTCCAATTTTAATTACAATGACATGGTTAATAATGAAGCATGTACTTTGTCACGTTATCTAAAATGGTGCAACTTATGGATGACACCAGTTTTCTTCAAAACAGTAAATCTTCATCACTTTACGTCCATCCATAAACGTTTTATTTGTAAGAAACTGAAACATTACTTCACAATGTTGTACTATGATAACATGATTTCTTTGAAAATTAAATAGTTTTATCTACTTTTTTAAACATATTTAGTTTAAATAGGTTATGCTGAAGTTTGAAGGTGGTTTAAAATCTTTATTAATGTGCCTCTTTTTTATCTTTGAGACTGCTCTAAGACTTTTTATTAACTACAGCATGAGCATGATGTGATATTAGTGTAGGCTGACCTGGTCAACAGACTGCTAACAAGCTCTAAGCTGTAGCAGTAATATTCAAAGACATGCTTCACATTCATGACCATAAAGGACAGGTTCCTTGGTTTATCCACATTTTGTGAGTTTGTTCTGTGCCTTCAACATATCTATCTAGTGGTGGGGTTTGTGAAAGCTTGGTCATGGGAAACGGAAAGTAGAGAGGGGAATTTATAGGGCATTAGATTAGAAGGTGGAGGAGTTTCTACTTTCAAATTTCAGTTTTTCCATAACTCCTTTTTGTAAAATTGGACAATGCCTTCAGCATATAGTGGTAGTATGAGGGAAGACTAAGTAAAGGAGGGAAGAGAATTTCATGACCTGTTCAGGTCTTTGACTGTGTGAGGTGTATGAGGACTTTGCTTGAGGGACCTTCACATAATGAGAAAGACATTGGTCCAGAAGTCTCTGTCCTGCAAGAGCTGATTTTGAAGAGGTGACATGTGAACTGTAGCAGCTTGGCTAGAGAATTTCTACTTACGTTGGCCCTTTGTATGATACTTGTGGTAAAACCGCGTGTTGCTATTAAGGTTAAAAGATGAAAAGAAAGATGGAGCAGATGAGTTTGATTCAGCATAATGGTGACATGGTTACAAACATCCGGGTCCGAATGAGTGTGACAAGGGCAAGAAAAAACTCTCAGGGGTGTGAAGACGAAACTTTGTGAGGAACCAGGACTCAACAGCGGATCCATCGACCTGCATTGTGAAGAGTGTGTTAAATGGGTGGGTAAGAGTATGGAGATTATAATGTCCTGTAAAGAATGGACAGGGAGCAGGGATGGGTATGATGATAGACGGATCTAGCTGGATGATGCTTCGGTCACTGCAGAAATTAGTTTGGCAACACAATGGTTGTTCTGTTATGACAGTGGATGATCACTTGCTTGAAATTTAAGTCCTTAAAAAGGCCAGTGATTGATGAATGGACATGGCTCCCATGGAGTGGGGACTGAACGGAACAAGAGAGCGAAGTGAGATCGGGCACTACAGTGGCACTATAGGCAGTGAGGCTAATTGTGTTGAATCTACTACTTAACGATAATGTTCTTCTAGCGGAACAGCCATTGAGATGGGTGGTGAGAAACTTATTTCGATAATGACTGATGAAAAATGAAAACTACACCACATGGCTAAAGTCAACCTGGGGCAATCCACTTTCTGCTACCTGTTTAATGTGCTCAGTTAAAATTTTGTGTTCAGCCATAATCCTGTCCAAAAGGCCAATGATCTCCACTAGTTTGAGAAAATTGCCATTGCCAATCTGTCGTACTATGGAATGCCAGGTTTTACATAGCCATTATTCTGAGAAGACTGATCAACCGCTGCAACACATTTTACCAACGCATTGTCTTGGCAGCCAATTTGTGCTGATTTTGTGCATCTGTTGTGTTTTGTTGGGCCAAACTTATGTCCAACTCTGTCCATTTCTGAAAATGTTCATGCTGCTTTTTTTTAATCAGTGATGGCTCATGAGAGCTGGGGGCGGAGGTGCAGCATGATTAACACATTCCTCAATTTATATATTTTTTGAATGGTTGGCCAATGACTGGCTCACATTTGACCACCCTTGCCAAAGTGCTTCACCTATATGGACACCGGCAGTGATACAGATTTTGCACTGTTACGTGCACAAACCTCCTCGGTTAGTCTTGGAAGATGTTTGGAGGTGACTAGGTAAGTTCTTAAAACCTCCTGAGAATACTCGTTTTGTGGAAGAGAATAACCTTGAACAATGGTGAGCTGGATCTACCTCCAGATGTGGATGAAGTTATGCCAGATGCCACCCTGGAGAATGCGTACGGAGGAAACCACATCCATTTCCTGATATGAAAGCGTGCATATATAGTTTTTAACATATCGTC